TATTACTATTATTACTATACTATTACTAATATTACTATACTATTAATATTACTATATTTACTATCATAATTATTATCAGGGGCGCCACTAGCATTTTGTTAACAGAGGTGCGACATTTTTGTATGTTGGAGGGGGTGGGGTTGGGGTGGGGGAATGGGTTCAGGTTTGGCTCTGTGTTCAATGTAAACTATCTATTTGCTTATATATCCTTCTCAGCTTGTTTTTAGAATTTTTACCTATTTTTTGTCTTATTTATCCCATATTTTATGGTAAATATTTTTATGTATTCGTTGCCTGTAAGTCCCTCGCTGAATCAGAAGTTAAAATTAGTAAAAAAAATCAAATTATAAATGATGCGCGAATTGCCAAAGAAAATGAATTATTTCTATTATTAATGAGCAATATTTGATTAAGATGGTGTACCATCCTGATCATGATAGAAGTGAGGGAGTGGGAGGGGACGAAATTAGATTTGCACCCCCCTCCCCCTAGTTGCACCACTGATTATTATCATCACTACTATTTTCATTATTATTATCACTGCTCCTATTATTATTATTATTATCATTTTTATCATTATATTATCATGATTATCAAATATTTCAGCATAAAAAAATCAGGGAAAAAATCGGGTTTTTTTCTGTTTTATTTGACGGATTTACAAAATTCGTAATTTTTCAATTTCCACCATGTAAATTGCAACAACAAAAATTAATCAGGCAAACAGATGATTTAATATTTAATTCACGTCTTTAATTTAAAACTTTGTGACAAAATTCTCCATTTATTTATTCCTAATTTGCAGGGAGCTCACAGCGCTAAAATGAAGAAATACTCCTGTTCTATCTGCAACAAACAAGTAGGGAATCTGAAGACTCACATGAGAACCCATACACTGGAGAAACCCTACCCTTGTGATCAGTGTGAGAAAAGGTGCGATCAACTATCTAATTTAAAAACGCATATTCATCTAGTGCATGGAGACACAAATGAGCGCCCGTATAAGTGTGACATCTGTGGGAATTCGTTCAGAATGAAGAATACTCTAAAACTTCACATAAAAACCCACATACAAGAGAAAAGCTTTAGCTGTATGGAATGTGATAAAGAGTTTCGAACCGAATCAAATCTTAAGAATCACATGACCACCCATTTAGGTGAAAAGAGTCATAAATGTGAGACATGCGGAAAATCATTTGCAAGAAATGACACTTTGACCATGCATGTTAGAACACACACCGGAGAAAAACCGTATCACTGTGATATTTGTGATACAAATTTCAGCACTAACAGTTATCTCATTGTTCATAAAAGAACCCACAATAATACCAGGCTATACAAATGTGATATCTGCCAAAAAGAATTTACGCAGAGCAGTCACTTACATACTCACATGAAAGGTGTTCACCTGCAGCTTAAACCATTTCCATGTAGCGTCTGCCAAAAGGGGTTTACCTCATTATCTATAGTAAAGAATCACATGAAATCCCATACTGGAGAAACATCTTGTGAATGTGCTCTGTGCGGAAAATCGTTTGCTCGGGTTCGATCATTGAAGAACCACATAAGTTCAGTACACGAAGGCAGGAAGGATTTCAAATGTAATATCTGTGAGAAACTGTTTTGCCGACAGGATGTTTTGGCAGCACATGCAAGAATTCACACAGGAGAACTTCCCTATGGATGTAAACAATGTGGAGAAAGGTTTAGAAGACTGGACTACTTAAAAGAGCATAGTGAAATCCATGTAATAGTAAAAAAAGAAAGTTAAATTTCATTATTTTCGAATAAATATTTTTTTCTGTTACGCTCAAATTATTTCTTGTTATAAAGTTACAGGGTTCTGGGTTACCCATCAAGTATGAAACTACAGACGAAGGTTAGAAATTTATTCAGTATTTTTTCTTATATTCAAGGTTCCCTTGAAAATCACTTAATAAGCCAATATAAGACTCAATAGTTAAAGAGTTACAGATCGCCACAGAGGCTCAGTCATTGTGGGTAACACTGTTCATTTCCGAAATTATTATTTCTAGCAAACGAATTTGTTTTGTCACACTGTGTGCACTGCACAATTACTGTGTTTTATGTTCACTGCAAATATCTATAAAATAAAGCTATTTTGCTCATATATCATCCTTAACTAAGCTTTCGGTGCATTCTTCTCCATGCAATTTTCTCCAGTGCACTGACCAAAGAAAAAAAGCGTTTAGTGGAACCCATATGAATACCCTGGGGATAACATAGGCTAAAAAATCAAAAATGTTTTTTAAAGATTAAAATTTGTTTCTTCAAAAATCAAAATTTTTATTTTTTTTTATTTTCAAATCTATTTTTTAAAAGTGTATTCAAAATTCAACGGGCAACGCCGGGAACTTTAAAATAACATTTTTTGTCTATTTAAAGTCTCCTTCCTATTCAAAAGTTCAATTGGTCTGACTTATAATGATACCTAGCTAGAGATAGCTGTAGAGTTTACATATTCTTATTTGTACAGATATACAATACATTTTACATACAGTACAATACGTTATACATACAGTACACATTATACATACAGTACACATTGAACAATACATTATACATACAGTACACATCAAACAATACATTATAATAATATACATACAGTACACATTAAACAAGAAGAATTATAAACATAAATACTTTTCAATCCATGACACAGGCGCGTAGGGGGCGGTTCCTCTGTGCCCCCCTAGAGCCATAGGGAGGCTCTAGTTTATTAAACAATAAACTTACATATATATTAAGATTTTTTACTTTTCTTATCAATCGACAATGTCACAATTTGTCCATTTTATGATTATTTCTCAAATTCATTCAGACGTCCTAGACCAGGTTTCCAATGAGGATATTCAAAAAACATTTATTTTTAAAAAACCACGAGTTCTTGAATTTGGAGGCTTTTGATTATTTTTTGTGAACTCTAAGGCCATACCATTCGAATGGAATGCTATTTTTAACCCGTTTTTTAATGGTTCAAAACAGCTGCATGTTTCCATAACTTCTTACCTAAATTTCTTTTTTTTTCTTATTTTAACCCATGGATTGAAAAATCTTCCTCAGTAATATGTATAATGTAGATGCAAACATTACCCACTGGGCATATTTATTGGTTAAGGAAATTTAAATTTAAAGAAAAAACGGAAATTTAAGAATATTTCTATCAGCAATGTTTTGGGACATCTTTTCTCTCACAAAGCGCCACAAATACAGAATAAGGTATCGTGAAAAAGCTTTAAATAACACTGTCTCCAGTGTAATCTAGTTATAATGTAATATAATATGATAAAAAATAAAAAATATATTTTTAAAAGTTTTTGCTCTTTTACTACTAGACTGGTATGATTGGTAATTATGGTCAGATGACTAGTCTAATAGTCAGCCTTCAGGTAGAGAAATATAGATTTTAAAATTTATTTTTCTTAATACCGGTTTTTAGGGGGATGCACATCAACCTTTAGGGTGGTGCACAAAAAAGGGTGCATCCCCCTAAGCTAAACTTCCACTACGCCCCTGCCATGACACCTCAAAGCTAGGCTGGGCTACGGAAAGAACGGAAAATAAAAAAAACGAGCGAATGTGTTTCAAAAGATCGGTGTAAATTTGCTGTTTCAAATTGCATGAAATTTACAAAAACGAAGAAAAGATTATTTTTTTTATGTTTTTTTTTTTACATGTTTTGATGTTTACGATTTCTAATATATCTTCCGAACGTTGTTAACGTTTAGTTCTTTGCTATTAGAGTTGGTGACAACCATAGATTAATTAACAATAAGAGATAAAACACTAGATGTCGTTTTTTTAGATTAAGGGGATTTCCGCTCACAATATCCCTGAGATAGAAGCAGGCGCGTACACAGGATTTTAGCCAGGGGGGGGGCGGAGCGCGAATTTTTTTTTAGCCCCCCTGCCTGATGTTTGCCCCCACCCCCCCTGGAATTGTTTCGTTCAAAAAGTCAATTAACACCATAAAAATACACCAAAAAGACTACATTTTTGGGTGTTACTAACCTTATAGAGTCTAAAAATTATTCCTTTGCTCGAAAAACTAACTTATCTTTTTAACTTTATAAATTTATCACTTAACTTAATCACAGCTAACTAAATCAATAATCACAGCATCATTAAAAAATTATATTTTCACTAATAAACGAAATTTTTTTCTGAAATTTTTAGATAGAATTTACTCAATCTACATATTCACTAACTCTATTAAGCTTAAATTTTCTGGGATATGCTTGCTCAAACATTTCAATGATTTTCTCAGTAGAGAGCTAAGACAGCCTTGTAGGGCGAAACGCCATAAGTGCAAGATCGTTAAGTCTGCTCTCCGTAATATATAGTACATCTTGTGTAATGAAGTATTCTCTTTAGAAGGCTAAAACTTTTCTCTCCCTGTATTAACAGTGAATTTAGACAAATCCTTAGTCTTTGTCATTTTCAGGTGTTACTTTTTAAACGTAGTTTCCTTTTAATTTTGTATTTTCCAGGGATGGCAGAGCCCCCCCCCCCTGGAACTCCCAGGGGGGGCAAGAGGACTACTGCCCCCTTTGGTACGCCACTAGGTACATAGAAGCCCAAAGTATGCAGCTTTGAATGACAATACAGAGAGAGAAAGAGAAAACGGGGTTAGAAATTTAAGTTTGTGGGAAAGACTCAATTTCTTTGGTTTTCGGTTAAAACTGGGTTTCCAACCTCCCAAACTAATATCTATATAAGGTCCTATTAAAACTCACGAATCCATTGACTGATTTTCCCAAAAAAATTGTGGAATTTGGTAGAACCACGGGACGGGAATATTCTAAGCTCCTGGCTGAACAATTATGGGTTGACTCAGTTTCCATAAAAACTGTATTAAATTTAAACTATGGAGGTGGTGCTTTTCCAGACATTGTAATTTTCCACTATAATATTTCTATTAGTTGCTAAATGATAAACGTAATGATAAATGTTTTTGGAATATTTGCTATAGGGGTGTAGATATATAGGACAAATCGAAGAAAAAAACCTGCAATTTTATATTATAGTTTAAAACTTTTTTTGAAGCCCCTTTTCATCAAATCCTCTTTTTATTTACCCCGTGAATTTTATATTAGGCACAATCAGCAATAGGGGGCCGGGTAAGGGGAGGGAGGGAGTGAGTGAGGGAGGGGGGGGGCAAGTGGGTTCCGGGGAGTAAGGAATATTCCTTACTCCCTGGTGGGTTCCCAACCGGGCATAATGGGTGCCGTTTTTTCAAAAAACAGCATAATTGAAAATTAAAAATCATCCAATATTTTGAAAGAGCATAGTGGCACAATTTAGCATAATTTTAGAATTTGTTTGAAAAAAGCACAAATTTTTAAAAATCATCATAATTTTAGGCTATGTCCCAAAAAATATATTTTTTCTGAAATATCATCATAATTTGAAAATATTTACAAGATTCTATGAAATTTCTCAGAGTGTCAAGTTTCTCTCCACTGTAAGATATTTTCTGTAGACCCATTCGTAGACCCCCCATCCCCTTTAAGAGTAGGGGGGAGTCTTACAGATATTTTTTATTCTTGCTAAATTTTGAAATTGTAGATTTAAAAATGGAATAAAACGGCATAATTTTCAATTTTACAGAAAAAAAGCATAAAATGGCATAATTTGATATCTGGATCAGCATATCTGAGCTCCAGAAAAGGTTGGCAACCCTTGCCAGCTAGGCTTAAAAATAGGTTTGGGTCGAGGATGCATATAGGCATATTTATTTTCTTATTCACTTCTTAATTCTCATACATTTACGCGACATTCTTTCAATTATTCAATTCTCTTCCTTCTCTACTAGAGACTCCTCTACATTTTCATCTCTTTCTCTTTCAGTTAAAACTCGGTGATGGTGATGGACCAAACCTCTGTAGAGTAAATAAAGTATATGTTAGTTCCATATTATATTGAAAATATATTTCGGTCTGGGTTGTCACTCGTCAGTTCTAACAATATAATAACCATCCAACTCGATGATAAAAAATGTTAAAAAATCGCAATAAAATAAACAAACAAAAAAGGTTATTAAAAAAAATGTTCCGTCAACTGGACAAAAAGAATGTTTCAAGACAATTATTTTGTTTATTTTGTTTCTGTCATGAATATTAAAAACAAACTGTTTATATGTGTATGATTGTATAGTGGTTGTGGGGNTTTCTTTATGTTTTGACTGCATACGGTTGTACTTAGTAGGGGGGGGTTGCTTGTTTAAGGAGGAATATTTCAACCTTATAATTGGACCTAAACTTTTCTCTTTCATTCTATCTTAATCTTATTCTTTAATCCAAGTACTTTTCAAACCTTTCAATCTTCCTTCTCTTCTTTAAACTACAGAAAATCAAATATTTGCAAAAAAGGGCAAATAAAGCAGTAAATAATAGTTCATTTTAAAGCATATTCAGGTCTGATATTTTTCAGATTAGAACTTCTAAATCTTGATGATACATATAAACTAGGTGTTCTCTCTTTTATGCATAAATACTTTTATAACAAACCTTCCAATTTCCTTCCATGATATGCTTAATTCTTTAGCTGAACCAAATAGAACAAAATCATATAAACTTGAGCAGGTTCTTTTAAAACGCTATAGAATGTTTTGCTTCCGCTTTATTAGAGCTTAAAGAAAATAAATCTGCAGAACTGTTTAAAAGAAAAATATTCAAAAACTATTTAAATAACGTTATGCAAATTATATCTGTAAAAAAATAACTGTTTTTCATGTGGATAAACAATTAGTCTTTGCTATCTTCTTCACCCTGTAATTCATAAACATGATTCTAATAATATATGTTAAACCTTCTGTTACAATCCTTCCGCTCAGTACCCACCCTATCCCTTATACTTTTTCACCCCCTCCTTACCTTATTCCTGATTTATCATCATTGTTTTGTTTAAAATGTACACTGTACAGTGTACACTGTACATCCATCTATTTATTTACAATTCTTATTCGCTTATCATGGGCCAACCAATCAAAACAATCAACTCTCGTGCTTTGTGAATATATGAATTCTTTCTAATAAACTACATCATTTTCAATTCTTTCTCTTTTTTCTCGATAATTCAATTCTGCGTTTTTAACATATTAAGCCCTTTATAGTGGGGGGGGGGGGGTTACAATGTACGGGTTTTATTCGGGCGTACAGTTCGTACAGTAAGACCATAAAACTGTAGAATGGACTACAACTTTTAGATTTAGTTTTTATTGAATAGTCTAATAAACACGAGACGCAGCAATTGTGCACTGAACACAGACCCATTTTGCTTAATATGGCTTTTAAGCTACTATATAAGTAAGATAATTGCTTAATACTTCAACACCAAATACACTTAAAAGATTGGTATAATGTCGTCTTCATATTCCACAGTTTAAATAATCGCTGTTTAATTGTTTAAACCCTGCTTTGTGTTTGCTGGGCTCGATGGGCACTGGGAGTGGGAACTAAACAGACGAAGAAGGTCAAATGAAATAAACGTTATATATTCTGGTCCGAGTTTGGTCCATCAGATGAGAAAAAAAATTTATCCGCGGTTATATATTAGAAATTTAAAATATTTTCATTCTTCTCAAAAATCCCAATAACTCTTCATCGGGGGTGTACGAGGGGGAGGGGGCCGGGGTGCACAGGTCCCCTCTCAGCGTGCTCCTCCTGAGGGAGGCACTCATTTAATACATCTGCTTGCATTTCCCTTCCTCAGGCAATATTCATTCTACATTGCATTGCATAGCAATTACCCAAGCTAAAAGATTTAAAGCTTTGTCTGATCAAGTATTGCATTGAATATCTTTGTTTCCCATATGAAAACTTTTATTACATTTTGAAAAATTTTATTAGAAAACTGATTTATTTTTTAATTACATCGTATAATAAAAAATCAGAGGCGTATTCAGGAATTTGTGCAGGGGGGGGGGGCTTAAATTTTTTTCTCTTTCCAGGAGGGGGGGCTCAGCATCCGTTGGGGTCTGAAAACCCCCTGAAATCAATAGATTTCACTGGTCCAGGGGGGTGTTTAACCCCCATAGCCCCCCCCCCTGAATACGCCTCTGTAAAAAATACTTTAAATCTCCCTTTTGCCCTTAACTAAAAAAGTTTTATTAAAAAAGATTTAATCAATACTGCCTTCAGTGTAAATATATTTTTGATATCATTTTATAATATAATATGTATCAATCCTATGAAAAATAGATATCAATATAATATATGTATCAATCCTAATGAAAATATAGATATTTTTAAAAAAACGTTTCCATCTCTATTTTTCACCCATTGAAGCTTCCACCACAGAGGGAGTTTTTAATGAGTCCACTTAAGAAAATTGCATAAATAATTTATTAACACTTGTAATCTGGAAATGTCACTGTGTATATGATCGAATAGTTTACCTGAACATACAGAGCGTCCCATATCATATTAGATCTCCAATCTTTAACACCTAAATACGCACATACAGGGTGTCCCAATAAACATGGGAATTTAGTGACGAATTCGATATCGTCTTTTTAAATAATTCTTTGATTTAGTATAGTGATACCTACTGAGAAAGCTGTAATCTGTAAGAGATCCGTCTGCTATGTTCACATTTTGTTTGTTTATGTTTTGACTGCATACGGTTGTACTTAGTAAAACAAGAAAATTGCAGTATACAAACTGAGCCCAAAACTTAAGACAGGGTATCGTTATGAAAACCAGTTTTGAAACCCGGGTTTCAAGATTGGGGTTAGGCAGTTTTGTGGATATTTGTGGATATCAATATTTTTGTTGTGAAATATTATTTCATTAAGTTTCTTCATATTCTTCATTTTTTAAAATTTCTGAAATCAAAATCTACACAATTGCCAAGACCCCAAAAAGGAAACTCGGGAGTTTCGTTCAACGATACTCTTTTAAATTTCGGGCTCAGAGTAAACTTGTCCGTCTTCACTGTTCATCTTGCGGAGAACTTATAGACACATCTTTACAGTCTTTTACCCTTTTCATAAAATAAATCCTAGCAGATATGTTAATATTATGGCTTTTGAAATTAGGTATTACAATGCTAATTCATAACAGTCCTGATGTTATTTTGAAACTATATAATATTTACTGTTGTAGTTTTTATGGATCTAGTATTTGGGACTTGAGTTCCCAATGTGTTTCAAAATTGTATACAGCATGGAATACTGCTATTAGAATTCTTTGTAATGTACCTAGAGATACGCATTCTACGCATAGGTACTTGATTGAAAGTATTTCACAATGTTTACATGTAAAAACAATGTTAGCTAGCAGATATGTGTCGTTCTATGAGACTATTGAAGCAAGTTCTAAGCAAAGCTTTGCATTAGATTTCTTTCTAATATATGTAAAAATGACCTCAACACAGTTCTTGGCAGAAATTTATTTTCTATTGCAAATGATTGTTCTGTAAATCCTTTGGATCTTAGTAAAATGTTAGTTAAGAAACAAATGAAATATGTTGATGTCCCATTGGAGCATGAATGGAAAGTTCCGGTTTTACAAGAACTTTTAAATACAAGAATGAATAATTTATATGTTGAAGGATTCGATGATTACGTAATAACTGAAATGATAAATATGTTATGTTGTGATTAAAAATCAATGTTTTCTATTTGTGCATAATTTTGCATATTTTTTCTCTTTTCTTTTATTTAAACTACACCATTTATATATGTATTTATGTCTTTGAGTGTGAATAAATCTTTATAAAAATAACAAAGACGATATCGAATTCGTCACTGAATTCCCATGTTTTTTTGGACACCCTGTATATTTCAAGGGGGGCCACAATTTGTTGCCAAGGATAGGCACCAATTTTTTTTTGGCGCGCTGACGCGCGCATAAAGTGCCCCCCTCCCTATACAAATGATTTCATACGCCCCTGTAGTCTTCCTTAAAAGAAGTTATGATTTAAAACATAAAAGCTTCTAATCCTGCGTGCAATTTTCTTTAGTTTGACGTGGGGTCCCTTGAAGTTACGTCAACAGTGCCTATTAAGTTTAAATTGTGCCTTGATTTTTAAGTCAAAATATAAAATACACATAACGTGAACAGTACGTTCATCCCCCTCTCACTTATGAAGAATACCACATCATTAAATTTTTAATTACTGTTCCCATTATGCAAGATTCTTTTGAATATCGTCTTTGTTCTCCCGCAGTTTGACATTAACCAAACCAAATAATTTAATTTAAATCGAAAAACCGGTTTATCATTTGTAAATTCTCTTCCAACACAGCAGACACCATTCAGCAGCCACCGGTCATACAAATTTCAAACTTCACTTTTATTACCGCCGAAGGAGTAAAAATGTCTGATAAATGGGAAACCGTTAAGCCTAAACCCGCCACCAACAGTAAATCTAATTCTAAGAAAACTGTTCCTAAACCGATGCCGAAACTTGAAGATGTCCTACCGGCCGGATCCATCCAAGCGATGTACACAGACTACGAGCCTGCCCCTGTGGCTGAAGTAAAGAAGGTGCCAAGCACCCCTAAGAAGGACCAGAAGAAGACTGTTGTAAAGAAAGATGTGGTTCCTGCTAAGCCCAAGGTTCCCAAGAATATTCAAGAAGCAGTCAAGGAAATTATTTATTTTGTCCTTCCTAATCAACTTTTTTTTAAAGATTGACCAACCTTGTGACTTAAACATATTTGTCGACGTTTAGGTTTCTGCCAATTTATACCAGTCTTAGCGCTAAAATTCACGTATCAAGATTATATCTATGTTTTGTCCGTCTTCTTAAATGATATTTTTGACCCCCCCCCCCTCCCTCCTATCAATTTTGCTCATGACCATTAATTTTAAGTAATTTTATATTATCTTAGGGCTAGGTTAGGTAAAGAAAATTTCTGAGCCTAGCCTAGTAAGGGGGCCGAGCGCCGCGGCTAGGACAGTCCAGGGGGCCGGGCGCTGCAGCCACATGGTCAATTATATATCCATGTCTTACATTTAAATCCATGTACATGATAGGCGGGGGGGGGGGGGAGTGGTCCAAAAATCGTTCTCTAGAAAATTACCTATATTTTATTTATTGTCGACGTAAAGTTGGTCAATCCTTCAGAACGGTTGATGTATGCTCCCCCTCCCCTCTTTCATTTAATTTTTCCACTTGAGGAAGTATGATGCTAATAAATTATTTGTCAGATGAATTTACGACTGGATGATCTAAAACAACTAGTTGAATCTTGCCAAACCAAATTCCCTGATAGTCCTCTGCTCTGGCTCCGTGATCTGGCCGCCTACCTCAACCTCAAGCTCGTCAACGAGGACAAGTCCGAGGTCGGAGTCTTTGAGGGGGCTCCACTCTCCGCCCTGACACAGAACATGAAGAAGTTGATGTACAGCGTGGTCCAGGGGGTGACGGAGTCTATGCTTGAGACCTACCTAGAGACATGTTTATCTAACACGGCTCATGATCTAGCCAAGGGTCTAGATGTCGATGGCTGGAGAGTTATGACCCAGGTATAATATATATAAGGTTCGCTCTACCAGCGCAGTGTTTGTAAATATATTTCGATCTAGGGTTCTACCTATGGAAGCACAATTAAGAAATTAAGCTCAAATCATATTATTGTACGAAAAGATAATAAAAATTATTGAAATTATCACATAATACACTTTCCTGATAAAATCCGGTGGCCAATTTGATTTATCTATCCGATGGTTTTTCAAAGATGAAAATGTTAAAGTAAACTTATCTTATGAATACTAAGCATATACTGTAGTGTTAATATCGAACGCTGGACCCAAATGGTTAAAAAGTTCTCAAAATTAACGAATCGGTTTATAATTTATAATTTCTAGCTCAATCACTTGGTTAAATATACTCTCCTGATGTTCAGGTAATCCTGGATATAAACCCTGGTTTGGTTACCTCCAACCTATCCCGGCTAGTGGAGCTGAGAAACAGTTATCAGAACCGTCCTAACATAGGACTAGCTCTGCTCTGGTCTGTCGGACAGGCTGGGAAGAATGACCTGCAGACCGGGGTGAGGATCTGGTTGGAGATGATGCTCCCTGTGATGAGTATGAAACACTACACTAGGTTTGTGGTTGAGTATCTTGGACTTCTGCTCAACCAGCACAGGATTACTAAGGATACTGTGCTCAGCAAGCCAGTGATGGATCTACAGAACTTTGTTACTGTACAGGTATATCTAGATTTAAATAAAAGGGATTGCTTGCTCGATTTAAATACACTCAATAAGAATTTCCATCAAATAATCTCAACATTACCTTTTTTAGTATTAATCTAAGGCATGCTTCACAAATATTTTTTCTTCATTTCTAAAGGAAAGTCGAACACGAAAATTTTCAAGATTTTTCCACTGACGTACGTTTGCATTGTAAAGATTTATAAGCGTTCAATAGTGATGGGAAGTAACTTGGCTCTTTATTTATCTTTGTAAGGTTTTTGGACTTTAGAAGCACCACAAAAATACTGTCAACTTGAAAATTTCCAACATTATAAAATTCTTTAAAGTTTGTTTTCATTAAACTTTGCAATATTTTTATCTTAAGAGAACTACTTTGGAAAAACTAACATTTTCTGTTCTTTTTTTGCACAGTGTTTCAAAATTTGGCATAGTTTAAGATTCCGATGCCCGATGCACAAGGGTACACTTGAAACCTTAATCTGATCAATAACGGGGAAGATATTGTTGTTTTTTCTAGGTGTTTAAGTATTTAATCGTGAACATTTCTGTAAGTTTACTGTAGTAGAAATGCGCGGGAACAATTTGTTGAGAAACCAGAAAATTATAAACATTGATATCTAATTAATACTTGATAAGACAACGATTTTTAGTGAACCGTTGTGAATCGGACAATGTCATCTTTGTATGGAGGTTCACTTGAAATTATGCATATAGTCCCTCTAAGGAGGTATTTCTAATTTGTAAATGTTTAGGATACTGTGTTCCTAGTATCCGGTCAGCTGAGCAAGGATTTTGGAAAGCAGCTCCGAGATCTGTATCCACAGCTCCGAGCTGCTGCTCTAGCTGGATCCAGGAACCATGAGATATTCCCAACCCTGATGGATAAACTAAAGAACCAGAATATGCCAGATCAGGTTTATTTTTGATAAATGTTGTATTAAGGGTTTGTATTTTCTTAAATGATTCTAATTTATTCCACAAAATGTTATTTAATCTTTCCTAGGGACAAAGTGGCATTAACTACTAACTGGTCATTTTACACCAACCAAATCAAAGTTTAAGATTGACATTGATTTGTTTTCATTATAATACGAACATGACAGGAAACGTATATTTAAAAATCCAATACTATTGTCAAGATCATCAAATCATTCCCCCCCCCCACGCACCGGGGCCCCGCGGGGGGGGGGAGTAATTCTTGAAATTATTTACCCCTGCTAACATTTAATTGGGACAATGACTTCAAATAACGGAATATTTTTATTTTTGACAATTTTAGAATGTTAGTTCTAGTCGGTTAAAAAGAAGTGTACAATGGGCAATGTATACTTATATTTTTCAGAGCATTAATTTCAACAAAAGATTTTTAATTGTGGGGAAATGAAACTTTTTGTTAATTTTTTAAATTTCATTTTCCTTCCTCCGTTTTTTCTTCAATTTAAAGACTAGTTGCAAAAGAAATTCCTTTTATTAGTTTACTCTCTCTTAGCGAAGAACAGAAATACAAAAATAAACATATTTGGCTCTATACTGTTAGAAAGGACAGAAGGCTAGCAAAAAAATATTTTTTCTGTTATTTTCAAGAAAAATGTTTTTCTTTCTTTGATTCTGTTATTTTCAAGAAAAAGGTTTTTATTTCCTTGATTTTGTTATTTTCAAGAAAAATGTTTTTATTTCTTTGATTCTGTTATTTTCAAGAAAAAGGTTTTTATTTCCTTAATTTTGTTATTTTCAAGAAAACGGGTTTTTTCATTGGTTCTGTTATCTTCAAGAAAAATGTTTTTATTTCTTTGATTCTGTTATTTGCAAGAAAAAGGTTTTTATTTCCTTGATTTTGTTATTTTCAAGAAAAAGGTTTTTATTTCCTTGATTTTGTTATTTTCAAGAAAACGGGTTTTTTCTTTGATTTTGTTATTTTCAAGAAAAAGGGTTTTATTTCTTTGATTCTGTTATTTTCAAGTAAAATTTAGGTTTTTATTTCTTTGATTCTGCTATTTTCAAGTAAAATTTAAATTTTTATTTCTTTGATTCTGCTATTTTCAAGTAAAATTTAGGTTTTTATTTCTTTGATTCTGTTATTTTCAAGAAAAAGGCTTTTATTTCCTTAATTCTGTTATTTTCAAGTAAAATTTAGGTTTTTATTTCTTTGATTCTGTTATTTTCAAGAAAAAGGGTTTTATTTCTTTGATTCTCTTATTTTCAAGAAAAAGGGTTTTATTTCTTTGATTTTATTATTTGCAAGAAAAAGGTTTTGTTTTAAATCATTGCAAATTATAGTGCACTTGTTATCTGTATATTTTTTAAAGATATTTATACTTCTAAGGGTATTATTTATTATTATTATATTTCAAGGTTCTGGACAGTCTAGAGGTTTTGGCCAATTGTTTGCTTGCCACCCCCGCAGCTTTAGGTAATATAGGAGATAATAATTGTATTTCTACTTAACAAACATCAAATTTAGATCTTTTATCAGACGGAAAAGTGATGGAGTACATTTAGTTAACAGGAACAGATTGATAAGATTGATAAAGGGGGAGTATTTATGAAATTTGTTTTGTCCTTGAATGATTACTTTCTCTATTTTTAATTACTTGAATTCCGTTTGCCTCTCAAAACATTTCAGGACATCAAACAAAACCCTTGAAACGAGACGGTGAAATCTTCTTATTCCATTGAGATATGATCCGCCAGCTAATTTATTGAACGAATACCAAGGAAATGGAAAGCATATTAGCTTTTAATTAACTGTTTAGGTCTGTGAAGTCAAAAAAGAATTTTCAGGAATCTTGGAATGTTTCTTTATTAACGTTGAGTTACTTAATAATTATGTGAAACTAACTTCGCTACTCAGTGATATCTCAACTATCTTAGAAACATTTCTGTGGTTTTAACAAGTTACCCAATCCAAATTTGAGGGAAATCGGTAAAGTAATTCATGAGTCATGCAAGGACATACAAAAAATACTACTTTTTATATAAAGACACTTTTAATTTAGTTCACTGGCAGCGCGTGTATACCTCCCACCTATCTCAGTCCGGTCAACTGGTTCAGTACCTGGACTCCAACTGGTCAAAGTATAGAGGTCTCCAACAGAACCCGGAGTTCCAGGAAACTATCCAGGCTTTCCAGGATTATAATATCTCTGCTACACACAAGGACGATATCGGACTCTGCAGGGATGGTTGTGCCGCATTGTTGGCTAAGATGGCAAAGTAAGATTTTTCAAGATTAATTTTTAACTCGCGAAATTTTTTCTTATTTTCTTTTTTTAATCAACTTTGTTCTTAATTCATGAGCGTTATAAAAAAACTCAATTATATTTATCAATTCATTTGACACTTCAAGTATTTAAACGATAATGTTTATTTTTAAAACAACTGATTAGACTCCGAGCTGTAGTATTTTAACTTTATTAAAGAAAGGGCCGCGTTATCTGATCTGTTAGACTCTTTCTGTCACATTAAATAGATTTCTGGAAAGCAAACTGAAGTTTTAATTGAAACTGAGAACAGAAATGTCTAGTTTTCTAAAGTTATTGTTTTTCTTATTAATATTTTTTATTGAACAAAAAAGAAATGGATGTAAGTACTTTTTGTATTAACTTTACTTCGACGTTTTACTGAAATCAAAAACAAACATATTTAATTGCTGTTCTTTACATTCAAAATTTACAGAGTTTTTTTTACAATACAACTAGTTTCAGAGTTTGTTTACAATTACACTAGTTACAGAGTTTGCTCTCAATTAAACTAGTTACAGAGCTTGTTTACAATAAAACTAGTTACAGAGCTAGTTTACAATTAAACTAGTTACAGAGCTTGTTGCAAAAAAACAAGATACAGAGCTTGTTTACAATAAAACTAGGTACAGAGCTTGTTTACAATAAAACTAGTTAGAGCTTGTTTACAATAAACCTAGTTACAGAGCTTGTTGCAAAAAAACAAGATACAGAGCTTGTTTACAATAAAACTAGTTACGAACTGTCCTATAACCTTAAGTTAGATGTAAACAAACCCTATTGCAATTTCCTTGTTTTCAATCATTATTATTTCTGTAAATGATCATGTATTTGTCATGATTATACTAAGAATGACTATTTAGAATAATGCTAACTCTAATATCGGACTAGGGGTGAAGGAGCATGGTTCCCGTGGAAAACCCTCTCCTTCCTTCTCCTGATTGCTACAGCATCCATAATAAACCTGGATATTCAGAAGAACGGAGAGTTCAGTAGATCCCATTCAGGAGCATTCTTCAAGGATATAGGTTAGTAGAGCTCAGTAGATACCATTCAGGAGTATTCTTCAAGGATATAGGTTAGTAGAGTTCATTAGATACCATTCAGGAGCATTCTTCAAGGATATAGGTTAGTAGAGCTCTGTAGATACCATTCAGGAGTAGTCTTCACGGATTTAGGTTAGTAGAGTTCAGTAGATCCCATTCAGGAGCATTCTTCAAGGATATAGGTTAGTAGAGTTCAGTAGATACCATTCAGGAGCATTCTTCAAGGATATAGGTTAGTAGAGTTCAATCGATACCATTCAGGAGTATTCTTCAAGGATATAGTTTAGTAGAGTTCAGTAGATACCATTCAGGAGTATTCTTCAAGGATATAGGTTAGTAGAGTTCAATAGATCTTATTTTACTTTTCGAATTGGCGCATTTTAAACAACAAAATTCCAACTATTTTCCAGGTTTTTTCTTCCAATTTTGATATTCCATAAACCTTCCCAGGGCCGGAGTCATGTGAGGTCCCACGCAAAATTTGGGTCCAATCAGTTCAGCCGTTTTGACGTTCATCGGTCACAAACAAACAAACATACAGACAGAGAGACAATCAAAGTGTATAATATTTATATATAGATATATTGCACCCCCCTTCCCTTTCAGTATGTCTGCTTCGCGTGACTTCACTATGTTTGCCACAAATCCAGATTTAACATATTAACATCCCTTGACGTGACTCACGTCCGCCCCCCCTCACCCGACAACTCACCTGATACCCATCTTCACTTCTTCTAATAAGCTTTCCTAAACCCCCACCCTACTCCGACAACAACACTCCATTCCCCCTCCCACATTCCATGTTGTAAGGTACCGAAGTATGTATATACCGGAATTTCTAAGAAATGCTCTCTGTTGACCTAACAACTAACAGTGTAATTTGTAAATATATTTTTCACCAAGGAATTTAAAAGAAAAGTTCCAAGGCATGTTCACATAGCTGATATTATTATTATCTTGTTTTTCTGAGCAAAAAAAGATAAATTGTTAAAATAAGTATTGAGTTTAAATCCACTGGAAAAAAAACCTGTCTAGATTGTCTTTTTTGTTCAAATATGTTTTTCTTATGGCCCGTTCTGTATAATACATGCGATTATTTTTCAGATTGGCCATTTTGACAATATCTTAATAAATCAAATAATATTGTCTTTATTTAATAACATATTCTTGTGATGATAATTTGAAATAAACTATTTGAAATTAAATATTATTATTTTCTAGGACAGTATGATAGATTGATGGATATCTCATCTAGAGCTCAGGTTTGTAATATTCAAAGGATGTTNAAAGATAAAATGAAACTGATTGAGGACGCACTATTGAGATAGCACTTAAAAGGACGCATAAAAATGTGAAATACATAATAAATATAAAATAAGTATTTCATCACTTCTAAATATCTTATTAATTAAATAGGAATCATCAAATATAGGCCTAGATACTACAATACAATATGTACATTACAATATATAGGTTGTATATGGGGCAGGGTACAGCTGGACTGAGACTAATGTACCTGTGTACTACGCTAAGATCAGATCTATAACTGTACAATACAAAATATAGGTTGTGTATGGAAGGGTACAGCTGGACTGAGACTAATGTACCGGTGTACTATGCTAAAATCAGATCTATAACTGTACAGTATAATATATAGGTTGTGTATGGGGCAGGGTACAGCTGGACTGAGACTAATGTACCTGTGTACTACGCTAAGATCAGATCTATAACTGTACAGTACAATATATAGGTTGTATATGGGGCAGGGTACAGCTGGACTGAGACCAATGTACCTGTGTACTACTCTAAGATCAGATCTATAACTGGTCCTGCTCTGGATAATGCTGTAGAACAGACTAAGGTAAAGTATTTAAAGCTAATCTTGGAAGGGGTGTATATTTTCTTGAAAATTTATTTACCCCCACTTAAGCCAAGTTAGGTATGTTAAAATAAAATTTTGGGTAAAAAGTATCAAAGGATGAAAAAACTTGAATTTTAGTGTCCTTTTTTCTGTTTTGTCCCCAGATCTTCAAAAATCATGAACCCCGCCTCACCCCACCCAGTATCTAAAGCTTTGATAATTGCTGAATTTGGATCATAAAGGATTACACCCTCGAATTTTGATTTTTGAAAACTTTGTTTTCTGAATGGTTGCAAATAATTTAGCCATTTTGTCCAGTATTTTCTTTACTCTCGAGTTTTAAAAATGTCGAGATTGAAAGGTAAAATTTTAAAAACAAATCCTTCTTTGTTTTGTTGAACACATTCCCTGGGTAAGTAACACTAACATCATTGTTATGAAGATATTTCCCGTTTTTATTGAAAAAAATACTCTCTTCACCCTCTCTGAATATTTGAAGTGTTTTACTACTTTTCCCTCTGTTACCCTAATTAAGCGTAAACAAAATTCCCCCAAGGGAGCAACAGGAAAGGTGGAAATTAAATCTGAATTTTAACTTTACTCTAGATATTCATAGACGACATAGTTGGGACCAGAAACAATGGGTTAATATTCTAACCGGGGTAAGGGGGGGGGGGGGAAAAGCGCCGGGAAACAGGGATAATTGGACTTTAGTACCCCTTTAAAGGGACTGTGAAGGAAAAATGAAAGGGGGTATAGGCTGAAACCTAAGCATTTTAGGAGTTGATCGAGACCTAAAAGAGTACTATCTGATGTTCCTGTATCGAGAAATTGGATATAAAACTGTGTCAAATTTATATATATAATTTTTTATAAAAATCGTAGGTTTAAACAGATCATATTCAGCAAATACGCAACCAATCTGAAAACGACGATATCCCAGAGGAGCCTAAGTATCACGTGACCAGAACTCCCACCAATGGCAGTGCAGTATACTGGTCATATGTAGCCCTGGGATCTTTACTCTAAACCCCATTCGTGGAAGTTCTGGTCACGTCATACGGACGTATAAATAATATTATCAATTATATCTATTACAAATGAAAAATTATTAAATTCAAATGATAATAGGAGCAAACCTAAGTTTCTTAGACTTCTCTGGGATATCGTCGTTTTCAGATTGGTTGCGCATTTGCTGAATATGATCTACGATTTTTATACAAAATTATGTATTATAAATTTTCGTGTTTTGACTCATATCTTATATCAATTACAGTCCCTTTAAGTAAATTTTTTTCGGGGGTGAGGTGATCACTGAAGACACTCTGGACTAAATTATCGTAGTTTTGATTGAATTTACAACCTTAAAATGTAAAAAACGGACTATTTCAAGCTACCAAGACGAAAAAGTAATATTTTAGAATTTCTGAAAACTACATTTCTTGGCTTATCTGGGATATATGTGGCGTATGTTCATTAGAAGTTTACTACTTTCTTGTTATCTATAATCTAATTAAATATAAATTGAAATAAATATCTCATGAAGGAGGTGCCCAATGTAGGGCAGAGGGGGGATTGAATGGGGAATGGTTAAAGTTATCGTGTAAAATACATATGTTCAATGTTCAGTTTTAATAATGAACTTTTGTAATATTAAAAGAAATTACGATTTTCTTTAATATCGCATGGTAAATGTAAAGTGCAGAAGTATTTTATGTTAAGATTCGTAAAATTTTGTCATCTTTAGAACAGCGGGCATTGGATGATTTGGGTCATTTTTGTATTTCTGATCGATAAAAAAGTGAAAATTTTAATATTTTAATTTTATATTTCATTTTCACCTGACAGCAATATTTGTAGTACTGCACAGTGTACAAGGGTTTAATTGTTTACTCCTAGGAGTACGGAGTGTATGTGTACGGGAAGGGAGGAGAAGGACTCCTTCTACTCCAGGACCAGCTGGTCCAGGTGGGGGCCCAGCTCCCCGGTCTCAAGCAGAGGGCCGGGGAGTTCATCATAATCCTGCAGCAGGGGCTCAACACCTGCCAGGAAAAGGTTGTGATGGCGTACACCGAGGTGGTGGGCGGTAAAGTGGACTGGGGGAAGGTTCAGGAGAATGTTTTGATAAAGATCTCCGAGCTCCAGATCAGCTTGAAGTCTGGACTGGACTGGACGAAGAATCAGATTAATCAATTAATCAAATAATATTTTTTCATTCAAACCAAAATTATTTATCTCTAATTTTTAATTCTAAATCCTCCAATACAATATCTCAAGTTTGTTACAGCAAATATTTGAGTTTATTTATTCCAGTTCATGTTCATAAATTCGTCCTAGCCTTAGCATGAAGATTTTATACAGGGTATGTTTTAATAATCCTCCTCCGCATTTCCTAGCCTTTGATCTGTCACCCTGTATGTGCCAATAGTATTGTGATTTTGTTATTTATCTATTATATAATCAATCTGTGATGATAGATACATCATTATATTTTTAAATACATCGTTGCATTTAACTTTACTTTTATTAGAGAGAAATTATTATATTTTTAACGTCAAAATAGGCCCAAAGCTTAAATAGTTTTTGGACTAAAAATTTTAAAACAGTGGACTAATTTAAAGTTTATTTCTTTAAGTTTTATTCTCGATAGTGCTATAGTGAACAATAAAATTACAACGTCATGATTTACTTATCAACCAAAAGATTAAGAGTTTTGAAAAATTGAAGAAATTATTGCATATTGGCCAATCTTTCCTCGGCATACAATATGAAATCATTCCTATTATGCTTAGTAAGAATTTGAATTGCATGCATGTAAGTAACTCTAGACTTGTAAAAACCGCTCTAGCTGACCTAGCAACTACGAAACAGGGGAATGAATACTCGGGATCTTATTTCAAACAAATTTTCATTAAAATTTGATTGAAAAGAATTAATTAATTTTACTTTCGATAAGCTTTGTTTCTCAACTAAACCCTGTTTTGTGCTAAATTAACTAAGTTCTAGAATGTAGAGACTAGATGCTTGATTGCTTAGAAAGTATATGCACTGTGTACACATACTGCTGTACACATTCCCAACAGTTCTTATATACTGCTGTACATATTCCCAACTGTTCTTATATACTGCTGTACACATTCCCAACTGTTCTTATATACTGCTATACATATTCCCAACTGTTCTTATATACTGCTGTACATATTCCCAACTGTTCTTATATATACTGCTGATCATATTCTCAACTGTTCTTATATACTGCTGTACATATTCCCAACTGTTCTTATATACTGCTGTACACATTCCCAACTGTTCTTATATACTGCTGAACATATTCCCAACTGTTCTTATATACTGCTGAACATATTCCCAACTGTTCTTATATACTGCTGAACATATTCCCAATTGTTCTTATATATACTGCTGAACATATTCCCAACGGTTCTTATATACTGCTAAACATATACCCAACTGTTCTTATATACTGCTGAACATATTCCAAACTGTTCTTATATACTGCTGAACATATTCCCAACTGTTATTATATACTGCTGAACTTATTCCCAACTGTTTTTAATAATGTCCTGTCTCTCACATTATTTTGAGTTAGGTTAGGTTAAGACAATTTCTGGGACGAGCGCTGCGGCTAGAGCAGGCTATTACAGTAGCAATAATTATTACAGAATAATATTACAGTATTACATTGCTGTGTTGTGCGTCGTCCAAAGTCCTCCTTATCTTGTGAGACAAGATAAAATTAGCTGTCTGCAACTAATTCTCCTGCCATGTTTGGAAAATGAATTGAAAGTAAGCACTTTTGCGTATTTAAAAAAAATTTCCGCCCATTTTTTATTTAAAAATTGTGTTTAGAATATTTTAAAAAATGTATTTGATGAATTGTAATTTTGACGTTTTGGAGCAGTCGACGTTTTGTTATTCGACGTTTTGATAATCAACGCTTTGTACCCACTCCGAACATATTCCCAACTGTTAATATATATACTGCTGAACACACTCCTAACTCTAATTTAATTTTATCTCAAGAANACCTTTTTTCTGGTTAAGAAGGCAGAATGTTATTTGTAAATCAAGTGTAAATTTGTAAACATGAAATCTTTAAAATTCCTGAGAAATTTTTTCAAACGTTCATGAAAATTACTTGTCAGTTCAATTTTATTTCAATCCAATAAAAATCATAATTATAATTACCAGAGATAGTTCGATCTTTTAGTTTTTAACAATTCAATAGAATTGGGTTTCGGCACAAATATGCAAAGTTCCTGTCCGACCTAGTATATTCCATATTTTATAGAGTCGATGCATCGACAGGCATTTGTGCATTTTTTTCTCGATGGGCATATTCCCGGCGATTTTCTGCTATTGGAGAATTGTTTATTAGAAACCTTATAAGACGCTTACATAGATCACTGTGGACGATTTTCAAAGAAATACCCCCTGATTACTATCTCCGCTCTCGAACAAAAATAGTTTAATGTCGTCGATTCAAATTTTTAACAACATAAAAGGAAAACAAGAACACGGAAAAAAATGAATAAAGTATTTTTCTGCTCGTCATTGCAAGAAATAGTGCAAGCTTTGATGGGTGCAAGATGTCTCAAAAATTATTTTGCCGAAGCTTTTCATTTTGTTAAATTATTAAAAATTTGGTAGATTTCTGTTTTAAGAATGTACTCGGCACTCGCCGGCCATTAGATTGTTTAATTTTGAACCATGAATCGGTCTGCAAAAATGTTTTAAAGTATGTTTTGAGTACTGGACACTGCACAGTTTAAGCATTTAGTTTTATTCCTGCATAGTTATTTGTTTGTCAGGCAAATAAACAGCCTCCGGGTCAATAGCCTCTAGACACGGTAAGTTGACCCTTTCCGCTAGCCTGCTCACATGTACAGGGTTACACATAAATCCTTGCTGCTAGTCTGCTCACATGTACACTGTACAGGGTTACACTTAAATCCTTGCTTATAGTCTGTCACATGTACACTGTACAGGGTTACACATAAATCTTGCATCTAGTCTGCTCACATGTACACTGTAAACTGTACAGGGTTACACATAAATCCTTGCATCTAGTCTGCTCACATGTAAACTGTACAGGGTTACACATAAACCTTGCATCTAGTCTGCTCACATGTACACTGTAAACTGTACAGGGTTACACATAAATCCTTGCATCTAGTCTGCTCACATGTACACTGTACAGGGTTACACATAAACCCTTGCATCTAGTCTGCTCATATGTACACTGTACAGGGTTACACATAAACCCTTGCATTTAGTCTGCTCACATGTACACTGTACAGGGTTACACATAAATCTTTGCTTCTACTCTGCGCACATGTACACTGTACAGGATTACACATAAACAATGAGACTACGTTGGACAATATTACTAATCGTAAAGAAACTAAACACACCACAAACATGATTTTAAACCCCTATATCTTTGAAAGCTGATGATGTAAACCTTTGATATCTTACACTTTGACACTATGTTCTAACAGAATTAATTTTTTAAAATGTAAAAAGTCTACAACATTAATATTCATAATAATCCCATAATTACAATCACAACATTAATATTCATAATAATCCCATAATTACAATCACAACATTAATANTAAATATCTGCATGTTACATGTTTATATGCTAATACTATCATAATATCTAAATATCTGCATGTTACATGTTTGTATTCTAAACTAGGAAAACTGATCTGGCAAGTTAGTTTGTATTTCAGCTATTTACTTGGCTGTAAGCTAGTTTGTTATACAAACAGATGATGTCTCCGCCTGTTAGCTTATTAGATAGATCTATAATCTCCCTTTATCCACCTCTCAAGTGGTTCATATTGCACATAAGTTATACCCTCTGTTAAGTTAAAAAACAAAGTTTGGAAATGAATCTTGGTCAAAAACGTTAAAAAAAATAGCATGTGCATCATTACTTCATGACAAATATTAGGAAAGCAAATAGTTGAGAAATGATTGAGTAAAGATTAATGAGAAAGGATGGTGAGATAAAAAGAGATGATGGAGAGGATTCAAGAAAAATAGGATGAATAATGTTCGGCCGGTTGGTGAAGGGGAACGGCAACGGGAGGGAAGGGATAATTGAAGGTGGAGTTGAAGAGGTAGTAACGAAGAAAAGGGTAGAGGGGAGGGGAGGGAGAGAAAAGTAGGGAAATAAGGGGAGGTGAAGGGTAGGGGTAAGGGAGGGGATATAGGAAGAGAAGGGAGGATAGACGGTATGGGAGTAGAAATGAGAAAGTTTAAGCGGGAAAGAGTTGTATCTAGCTTGGACCGGATTCTGGCCTTTGACCCGGAGCCGGCTAGTTATAGCTGTGTCGGCCAATCTGTTTCCTCTGTAACCGCACAGGTCAACCCGCCCAGTAGAACACAAACCTCACATTCAGGTACACCAAACACTTCTTCTTTATATTTTCTTTTCTTGAGAAAAATTTCTTGCTATTCAATATTCATATCAACGAAAAGTAAATATACAATTATTCCTGTATGTGTGACGTGTATATGTAGAATGTAGATTGTAGAAAATCCATCTTTCTTCATTCTTTAACTGATATCTAACACTTCTTCTAAAGGGTTTTCTAAAAAAAACTAGAGACTGTACAGATTTTGCTTGTTTTTTATATCTAAAATTTTCTATAGCTTGTCAGATAATGAATAAGCTTTATACCATATAATTTACACATGTTTACCGAACAATATTTATACCATATAATTTAAACATGTTTACCGGACAATATTTATACCATATAATTTAAACATGTTTACCGGACAATATTTATACCATGTAATTTAAACATGTTTACCGGACAATAATTATACCAGATGAACAAATGTATTCGCCTTTAAAAGCTTATGATTTGTCAGAATATAATGTTTTTTTATAACCTTGTAAGAATTGTGGAGTTATACTTGATCGTTATTTTTCACAATCTAAAATATCAATAAACGTTACCGGCCAAAAGTTGATAAAAAAAGCCAAAAGGGTAAAAATCATCGATCAAATAATTAATTAACAAAGACTAAAGAAATTGACTGTAGGGGTTGAGTTAATGTCAGTTAACTCACTGGTTTTAAAACTGAAGAAGTGCCTAGTCCATATTAGAATGGGTAATCCTGTATATAATTTTCTAAAATATTAGAATGGGTAATCCTGTATATAATTATCTAGAATATTAAAATGGGTAATCATGTATATAATTTTCTAAAATATTAGAATGGGTAATCTAATTTTCAAGAATATTAGAATGGGTAATCCTGTATATAATTTTCTAAAATATTAGAATGGGTAATCCTGTATATAATTTTCTAGAATATTAGAATGGGTAATCATGTATATAATTTTCTAGAATATTAGAATGGGTAATCATGTATATAATTTTCTAGAATTTTAGGGTATTCTTGAATATAATTTTTCTACAGTGATCGGCGTTTATAAAAATACAATGAAGACGACTTTTATATATGTAGTTTTAATTTCTAACAAGCTTTATTTAAATTACAAGTTAACAAGTAAACAAAGAGAAGCTGTTGATTGACAGCTTCACTTTGTTTTCATGTTTATGTATATCCATGATGTTTGACAGCTTGGTAGAAATCAAAAATTGAAACCGAAAGTCGTCTTCCTTGTATTGATATATGTATGCGACGGCGACTGTCAAATTTTAGAATGGGTAACGCACAAGCTAGAAGAAGGATCAAGGCCACAGACTTCCATTATCTTGCTAAATTCACCGCATTTGCGAGCAATGAGGTAAAAGACAGGAAATTAGACAGGAAGCAGGAGAAAGGTATGTAGATGGGAAGATAGGTAGGAGTGAAGCTAGGTAGACAGGAAGATAGGTCTGAGTAAAGTTATATCTATGTAGACAGGGAGATAGGTAGAATGACGCTGAAAAGATAGGGAGATATGTAGGAGGGAAGCTATGTAAATAGAAAGATAGGTAGGAGGGAAGCTATGTATACAGAAAGATAGGTAGGAGGGAAGCTATAAAGGTATAAAAAAGCTATTTATACAGAAAGACAGGAAGGAGTAAAGCCATGTAGACAGGAAGGAGTAGAGCCATGTAGACAGGAAGAAAGATATGAAGGAGCAAATTTAGACAGGTACAAAATTGGAAGGAAGATGGGTAGACAGAGAGCTATGTGGACTTAAATTTATGTTGGCATGAGCATAGATATTAAGGAACAAACGTGGACAGGAAACTAGATAGGATGAGTTAACAGAAAAGACGAGAACTTAAATGTATATAATTACACTTTCCTTCAAGAAAGAAAAAAAGAAGAATGTGTTGAAGTAAAGAAAGCAAATTAACACAAACATAAAAGAATTAAAATATTGAATTTGAGAATTTGGTCAGAATATTAGCTGATAAATCTAGTTAAACTGTACAGAATATTAGCTGATAAATCTAGTTAAACTGTACAGAATATTAGCTGATAAATCTAGTTAAACTGTACAGCTGCTTTAATTTTGCATTGAACTGGAGAATTTATCCTACTGCAAGATTCCAAGAGACAGTTTTGCATTTGCCCATTTTTTGTAGACTTAAAATATCCTCGCTTGGCAGGATTATCTGTTTTAAATTGTGCCCTTAGCATCTTTCCCTGACCCCCTCTTCAAATACTTAATTTTAGCAAATTGATATTGTTAAAAATTGAAAAGCACTTTAAAATTTTACAAATTAACAAATAATTAGCTTTTTTATTTTCAATGAGGAGGCATAAAACAACCCATTATATTTTCTTTAGCACTGTTTTTAATATGAAAATTGGGACAAATTATTTTTATTATTTAATTTAACTGTTTAATCGTTGATTTTCTTTACTTTGACACCCGTTTGTGAAAATACGTAACAAACTGATTTTTTTAATTTATAAAAATATTTTTTTAATTTTTAACCTTTTGTCTAGTTGGTTGAGGAGTACTACAACAACCTGATGGATAAATACTCTGATGGAAAAATGGATTCTGCAGATTTTATTGCAACATTCAAGCTAGCTTTCCCAGGGAGGATGCAACTCTAATAAATAGTTTTTAAGATATTTATAGTTTTTGAAAAATCAAACGTTTTCATTAGGCTGAAGAAAAGATTAGAAAATTAGAGTTTAAGCTGAGTAATTAGTTTTCTTTATAGGCCATTAATCTTCATTACAATACATAAAAACAGACTTGAATTCGGAACTTTTGTGTTGTTAATAAGATAATTCCTTTTCGATATCCCGTGGTAATCGTACCCTGACATTTGATAAGTTAAATTCTTAAACTTATAAAAATAGATTTCATAAAAATGTTTTTTATAAATTAAATTTTGTGTCTCCTCTGTAGAGAGACCAGCGGAAAAGGTTGAGCTCCTGGCTTCAAGGATGCAGAACAAGGATGGAAAAATATGTAAGTATTAAAATATGTACGTATTATAATATGTACGTATTAAAATATGTAAATATTAAAATATGTACGTATTAAAATATGCAAGTATTAAAATATGTACGTATTAAAATATGTACGTATTATAATATGTACGCATTAAAATATGTAAATATTAAAATATGTACGTATTAAAATATGCAAGTATTAAAATATGTACGTATTAAAATAAAGGGACTGTTAGCGTTATTTCAAGAGACCCTTTATGCAAATATAGCAATGTCCGATTGACAACGGCACCCTAGAAAGCTTTGTCTGGTCAAGTAGGAAATAAATATTTATGTTCATAATTATAAAAACTGATTACTTTCAAATATGGTTCCTCTACAAAAGTGACTTGCGCATTTTTACTGCAGGAAAGCATGTAGGAATTGCCAGGATTTTACACTATTAAGCCTAGAAAAACGAAAACAATTTCCATGTTATTGATCAGATAAAGGTTTCAAGTGTAGCGATGTGAATCCTTAGAAAACATTTAAATTAACTCCTTTTGAACAATTTTGTCTCCTATTTCCTACCTTTAATGCCCCTTTTGCTTCTCATAAAAACTGAAGGTGCAGATATAAAATAATAAAAAAGCATATTTTTCATGAACTTTATCTGTAAACCCTTTTATTATATAGATAAGATATAGCACTGTAAAGCTTAGTAGAATTATAGATAGAGCCAACACATTAATATTTATCAATAAAATAATGTCCTTAAACAGCAAAAAAGTTCAAAATTAGGGGAAGTTGTGGGATTAATGGAAAGAAAAAAAACTCCGACAAACTTTCGTTTTGAAAACATGATTTTTCTTTCGCGACAAATACAAATACATTTTTGAAATAGTTTCCATCAACATTCCAACAAATATCCCCCCAATATAACTTGAAAATTGAAAGTCTTTATGTCTACAAAGATCAAAGCAAAATGTCGTTAGGAAACTCATAAACATAAAAGCACATTCGGAAAGTAAAAGGAATGTTTTTTTTGAATTGAGATTGTGATATTTCTTAGTCTGTCTTTTAGGGTGTTCTTGCTATTAATGCTTTTCTATTGTAAGATTTAATTCCATAGTTAGTACCAAACTTTTTTATCTGTTTGATTTTTTTTACAAATTCCATTTCTTTATTATTACAATTAATTTTTCTTTACAGAAGGAATTTTCTAATCTCTGAATCGTTGCAATACAACCCCTAGTAGACAATAAATATTTCAAACTATGAATTCTACTCAATAAAATAATGTAAGCTGAAAATATCACAGGTCTACACCATCAGTTTGCCAAGATATAAGATTAGAACATTTAATTAAAAAAGACTTAATTCCTTAATAAAAAAAATTTCCCTTAGATTAGCTATAAAAATATGAAAGACGACCTTCAAGTCTCTTCACCACTGTTATATATATTTATGTTTATTCTGTTTTTAGCAATGGCAAACATGATGATTCTGTTCTATCTATTCTGCAGTGGGAAGACTGAGGATAATTTAACTCACATTTTCAATCTTTTTGACATGGACGGAAACAAGGTTGGGTTTTTCTTAAACATATTTGACATGGACGGAAACAAGGTTGGTTTATTCTTAAACATATTTGACATGGACGGAAACAAGGTTGGTTTATTCTTAAACATATTTGACATGGACGGAAACATGGTTGGTTTATTCTTAAACATATTAAACAGGGACGGAAACAAGGTTGGTTTATTCTTAAACATATTTGACATGAAATGGGAACTTCGTGTGGATATTGTTAATATCGATATCCAATGTGGGACTTTTAAATTTAGGAATCAATGCTTGATCCCTTATATATTAAAAGTATACCTGTAGGGCATAACCATAACGAAATATTAACGAGTGATATAAATAATCCGTTTATCTCCATAAGATGAAAATCTGTGCTTAATTCTAAGACATAATACAGATTAGCTTGAGAAAACACAGATAATCCTTGTCAGAACAAATATTATCCTTGAACAAAACACAGATTAGGATGAAAAAACACAGATGATCCTTAACAAAACACAGATTACATTGACAAACCCTAACCAATTTCTTTAGAATTAGGAGTTGACAAACCCCTCATTATTATAACATGAAAATTTAGGTTATCACAATTGACGAGCTTCTGAACCTGATGTCTGTATTTATCGAGATCGGAGAAGGAAAGAATCACAAGGTTTGGTTTCGAATATTCTGTTTAATGATTGTCAGTTGTAAACGCATTTTTAATAAACCTTGCGAAGAAAATTTGCATTTAACCATTCAATTGTCATATCTCTTCCTGAAATGAGATTAGTGTCAGCCATTTTGTATTTTATCTTTGCCGTAAATATCAAGGAAATGTCCTGGCTGCATTTTCCGAAAAAACACGGTTATTAAAATGTGAATCGGTAATGGCAATCTTTAAATGAAGAGTTACTTTAATTCTCTTTAATAGTTGGGTGATCTTCGCCGATTGTCCTTTAGAACTGACAGGTTTACTTTGAAAAAAATAGAGTGCTCAAAGCAAGCTTGATTGCTTGAATATTCGTGCATGGAATAATAGTTATTTGTTGTTCATATAAATATGTTTTTATCCTCAAATTTACACATTTTTTTCAGGTTGATCTCGCAACTGTCATGGCTGAGATGTATCAGAAAGGAGATGCCGACAAGAACGAGAAGTTAGAGCTCAAGGAGTTCATCAGAGGAATGATGGATCATCCCGTCACATCCAAGATCATGTCTATCAAGAACATTGACGCATTGTTGGAACTGATGTAAACCCCTTCCTGCCTCCCTGGTCTTCCTGATATCCGGAGCTGATATACGAGCTCTCAAGTTGGTTAATCTGCAACCTGAAGCTGAACCAGTTCTCTCTCAATCTGATTATCTTACAACCTGGAGCTGAACCAGTTCTCTCTCAATCTGGTTATCTTACAAACTGGAGCTGAACCAGTTTTCTCCACCTTATTATCTTACAACCTGGAGCATAACTGGTCCCCTCTCTCTAGGGTCTCTGGGAGCCCAAACTTATTCCTCTTTCCCAACCTTTATTTATTAATTTTGAACATATTAAAATGTGAACTGTACTCATTTAACAGAACTTCTCAAATATATTTGATCTTCAGAATATTTACACGTAGTACCTCTCTTGACATAAAGTTGTAATCTCTGTTTGTTTTTCCGATCATAACTCAGGAACCCCTGGACCGATTTGTCAAAATTTTGATTGGGCAATTTGGGAGGCCCACGGAAATGTTCTTAGCTTGGTTTTAAGATTCTAACATCAGCTGTTCGACTTGATAGTGAAAATTTAGTGCGGGTAAACGGCGGAATTAACTTTTAATCAACCTTGGCAGCGCTGGGTTCCCAGTCTAGTCTGAAAATAAAACAAGATAAAACATATAATGGGTAATAGGGCTATCACGCTCCTTTGACCCTTAAGTAAAAGTAAATTCAACTTAAAGTCTGACCGCGTCAACCTTGTTGCACCGGCTAGTCCTATTGAGTGTCTGCTTTATTTAAAATATAATAATAATAATAATAATAATAATAATTAACAATAATAATTATACCTATAAAAGTATTGTTTGCTCTGCTCTCGATGAATTTGTTGATAAAGTGTCGATTAGTCTCGTGTACTAGTTCATGGTTAGCATACTCCTGCAGTAAAAATGTAATCATTTTGGTCTTATTATTTTGCGTCACCGGAATTCAAAATCTTCAAACTTAAAGAAATTTGGTATGAAAATGATAACTATTCGATTAGAAAGAATCAAGCTTTTCCCACAAACTCACATTTTCTTGGTCAGACATCTTTGCAACCTGATCATGTAAACCTTTGATATTTAAAACTTNCCTTGCCGTTGAGCCAGAGCAGGTCCTTGTGACCCTGACGGCTCAACGAGTAGGCAGGTCGAACCGGTGGCGCGGAAGGCTCTGGGAGTGATCCTGGCTGGAGCCGCCGGTTGTGCAGATCTTGGTGGTAGTAGCAAATACTCCAGGGAGGCCCTGGAGGACCGATGTGGAGAAGGGTTTCGTGTGAACAGCCGTTGAACACGAGTCAGTCGATCCTAAGGCATAGTGGAAGCATTGTTCAATGGAGCGGTGATCTATGGTCGTACAGATAGAGCCGCGTCCACAGCCGAAAGGGAATCAGGTCCTTATTCCTGAACCTGGTAGCGTAACCGTTGGGAGCCTCGTATCTCTCGTGTTAACACGAACAGAGCTTGAGACGCCCGCCTAAACTCTGGGAAGAGTTGTCTTTTCTGCATAAGCAACCAAGGCCCTGGAATTTCTTTGAGAAGAGAATGGGTTTTGTTTTGCCAAGAGCACAGCAGTTCTTGCTGTGTCCATGAGCGTCAGGCGGGACCTTGAAAATCAAGCTGAGGGCTTCGGGGATTCGCACCAGCTCGTACACATATCCGCAGCAGGGCTCCTAGGTAAACAGCCTCTGGTCGATAGAATAATGTAGGTAAGGGAAGTCGGCAAATTGGTTCGGACATTTGGTACACGTACTCAGTCGATCGGCTGATGGTGCGAAGCTACCATCCGTTGGAATATACCTGAACGCCTCTAAGGTAGAAACCAGCCTAGACATGGCAACTTTAATGTTGGACTGGAGATCTGTATGGGGTACGATAGGCTTCTGGCCTCCTCCCTGCTGTCGGCTCTTGACTTGTGTCTGAAATACACTTGTCTCTCCTGGCGATCCAATTATCAGAGTTCTTGTCCCAAATCGTTTGTAGACGACTTATGTACCGGTCAAGGTGACGTACTTGGTAGAAAATCTTTTAGGTTTTGCTCTCATGTTGATTCTGGAAATCAATGATTGATTGTGAAAAATGGAAATGAAATTGAAAATTTTACAGTTTCATTAAATTTAACAAACTGTTTGATTATTTTCTCAAAGGAGGTATTTTGTTTGTTTACCTAAAAGTTTAAACTTATTTAAATACAATCAAAATTTTGATTTTTTTAGAATCAATAATTGTCCATTTGTTTTGTCTAAAAATTTTAATCGTTAATTGCTTAAACTTTACATGTTCTTAAATTAAAAGATTTCACTCAAAAGAAACTTGAATGTTCTACTTTAGATTTAAGTAGTTTAAATTGTTTTGCTCGTTTATTTAGTTAACTGAAATAGATGCATTCTTGAAGCTTGGTTATTCTCCTTCCCTTGTTATTATTAATCAAGAGGAAGAATATAGCCATTTGAACCACCTAGGAATATAAATTAAATAGATTTATATAAATAAATATAGAAATGAAGTCAATCTAATTTTTATCTTTCTAATTTTAAGCAGATTTACAACAAAATGTTTATCACCATTTACATGATTTCTAGATATTGTCGATGTTTAATTAGCTTAATTATTTGAAGGTGTTAAAATCCAAACAGAAGTAAAAATTAAATTTCCGAAATAGATATTCTTAAAAAAATATATTTCAAAATTCAAAATGCAATTTTGTTAAAGGATTAAATTTTCTGTGTTTTCTAGGTGTTGTCGATATATAACAATTTTCAATTTCCAAAATTAAAAAATAAAAATAAAACTTCCGAAATTGTAAATTGACAATCCAAATTCATAAATGTTTGATGCTTATTAATTCGAAAATTAAGTTCAAATCTAGATTGATTTTTCAAAAGTATTGATTTAATTCAAACTGAATTAAATTATTTCAATATGTTAACCAGGATATTTGGATTTTATTTGTATCAGAAATTAGTTAAAATTTGAACAAAAAATATGAAGATTTATCAGAAAATCAAAAATTAAATAATGCTATCAAAATTCAAATTGTAGTTAAGTAAGAAATTGAAAAATATTTTCCGAAATAAGCCTAGGCTGGATTTTTAGAAATCAAGATTTAAAAAAAATCAATTTATGGTAAAAATCAGGTAAACTGGATTTTGGTAATTATAATTTAAAAATCAGTTTATGTAAAAATTAGGTAAGCAGAAGGATTCAAATAAAATATATTAGAGGCAAAGCTATTAATTAAAATAAAATAAATCTAATTTCTATTTCTAATCAATCAAAGATTTTTTTACAAGGAAATAGATTCAAAACTTTTTATAAGGAGATTGAGGTTAAAGTTTGAAAATTAGAATTAAAACTATTTTCTTCGAACATAATTTTATGTAAGGACAAAATAATTCACAGTTATTAGTTATAAAGTAAAGCCTGATTAAAACTTTCTGTATTTAGACGAGAGTGATTGGAAAATTCCAAATATTCTTAAAGAAATTTGTTTTATTTATCAGTTTTCAAAATTATATCCAGAAAATAAAAATCAAAAAATTATAATGCACTAAATTTTATGATAGAATATAGGTTAAATAGCTAATTTAAAAGAAATAATACTTAGAAAACCAGATATTGAGAAATAATCGATTTAGATTTTAATGTAAGAGTTTAAGTTTAAATGTACAATTTCAAATAAACAGGATTTACAGATAATATTAAAACTTTAATGAAGATCTAAAATTATAGCAACTGGACTTAGAAAATATTGCATAGAAAATTCAAAATTCAAAAATTCAAGTTTAAAGAGAATATGGAAACGTTAAATAAACTAGAAAAGGACAAAGTTTATAATATCACAATTTCAGAATTAAGAATTAAAAGAATTTAAATTTTAAATAAAGAGAACAGATAGAAGTTACAAAAAGACACAGTTTCTAGTATCAGAGTTAAAAATAGTGTTTAGACAAAGATCAAAAAGTATATTAGCGGAGTTTTCAAAATCAAGAGTTTATAATAGTAGAGTTTTCAAAATCAAGAATTTAAATAATACAGAATTTATAATAGTATAGTTTTTTAAAATCAAATATTTAAAAAAAAAATTTTTGATTTTATAAAAGTAGATTTTTCAAAATCAAAGATATAAAAGAATATGGATTTTATAATAGTAGAGTTTTCAAAATCAAGAATTTAAAAAAATGTAATCCAGAAATGAAGAGATTAGATAAAATTTAAAAGATAAAGTTATAGTACCAAGTTGTTAAAAATAATTCTCAAAAAAACAGAAATTTTAAAAGCAGGGTTTGAAGATAATATGAATATCTTAGATAACTTTTAAAAGGACAAAGTTTACAGTATCAAAGTGTAAAAATAGAAATCTAAGAATCAGGATTTTAAAGAAAAAAGTGTAAAAAATAGAAATCTAAAAATCAGGATTTTAGATAAAACACGCAAAGTTTTAGTATCAAAATTTTCAAAATCAAAGATTAAAAGGAAGATTAAGAGAAATCTAAAAATTTTAATTTTTTCAAAGAAAAAAACAACTTTAGAGTATCAAAATTTCAGAATCAAAGATTAAAAAGGAAAAATTCTAAAAAAACTAGGATTTTAAAGATAAAACAAAGTTTATAGTATCAAAATTTCAAAATCAAAGATTAAAAAGAAGATTGAGAAGAATCTAAAAACTCAGGTTTTAAAGATAAAAACAACGTTTATAGTATCAAGATTTCAAAATCAAAGATTGAAAAGAAGATTGAGAATAATCTAAAAATTCTGGTTTTAAAGATAAAAATTTAAAACGAAACGAATTTGCAGGATTGTAACCATTACATAAAGTATTGAAAAATTACATTTTAAAGAATTTCAATGTAACAGTTTTATCACAGATTAACTGAAGGGTTACAATATATATAATATATCTAATCATTGGTGGACGGTCTTCTACTTTATAAGATCTTTGATTCCCAAAAATTTCCCATCTGCCGTTTAAAGTTTGAGTGACAGGGTTGACGTGTGAATGATTCCCGGGTTTTGTATCAAGTATTAAACTATCAATGAATAGTTATAAAACCCAGGGATCATGTCGGTATATAATTCTAATGCAGCATACTAGTGCTTTGTGACTTTAAATGCAGTTTAATGCATAGGTTCGAGGGTCGAAACTGCATAGATCCTGGATATGTGAATGGAGAGGGGGGGGGGAAGGGAATAAAAAAGGGTAATGGAGGAGAAATAAAGTTTGGGAGAAAAAGAATGAAAAAGCAGATTTCAGAAAAGAAATATAAAATTTTCCAAAAATCTCTATGTTCACAAAGTCTGGAAATGATTAAATATAAAGATATTTTGACTTAATTAAGCCGATTTTGTTTTACAAATTAGATAAAAAGGG